TATATATATATATTTACATATGAGGCCTGTAACACGGTCGCCACTTATGATGATCGAACTTCTTTCTATGTACGGGTCTCCCGTTGGACTTTAGAATATCTCTACCAATATTTGAATATCTTAGGTAGGTCCATCTAATCCAAAAAGTTTGAAGTTTTTCTTAAAGCAGGCCTGGAAGTCCAAAATATAAAAATGAAGGACAAAATTGCCTCTAAAATAAAAGACAATTTAGGGATGCTGATTTTCTAAAGTTAGCAATTTGTGATACCAACACAGATTCGCAGATATATAACGGGTAATAGTTTTAGTAGTCCCTGCACTTAGTGAAAAAAAAGTTACGCATTTTTTTTTCAAACAAAAAAAAAAAACAAAAAAAAAGAGGGAAAATAGTCTAAACATGGCAAATTGTTAAGTAGTAGCAAAATACGAGGATTCTCTTGTGAAAAACAGTGGAGTAATGATATATAGATGAAAGCTTTTTATATATTTCTCCCACATCGAATGCTTTTATGCCATCACATCAAAGGTAATTGTCTCTAAATACTGGAATATCGTACTTGACGCGCTAGGAAAACTTTGTAGTTCATTTCGTTATTTATAACATAATGGACATAATAACATAAATGACATATAACATCATTTTGGAATTTGAAATTTTTTCAATTCTTTTCCTAGATAAATAATATTTATTCTTCCTGTTTATTGAAGGACGCTTTTTTTTTTTAAGGAATTTAAGGACAACTTTGAGCCCCGTTGAGAACACTTTAAAATAAAAAGAAAAAAGAAAAGTAAGATTAAAATGCTTGGGCATATTAAAAGTAGAGCTAAAGACATTGAATCAATAAAATGGATAAATGACAAGTTAATCAGTCAATGAAACAAACAAAAAAAAAAAACGATTCATACCTGTTCATTGTCACCTGTCTGCCAACTGTCGTTACTCTAGAATCAAAATAAATAATAATTAGATTCAACATTAAATAGAAACACAGAAAAAGAACATTAAAATAGATTGTTCGAAAGGCACAGATTTCTGGGCTTAGAAATATGTTGCGACAGAAAGAAAAAGGGAGATTATTTTTAAATATATTTTCGCGCAATGAAAATATCCATAATTTTAATAAACGGAAGAAAAAAAAGAGAAAAAGTCTGGAAAGGAAAGAAAAAAAATGAAAAATATATATTAACGAAATAGACTGAGGGGTGAGAATGAAAGAAAGATTATTAAATCAGCCAATCCATCAGAATCAATCCTATTCATTTATACATTTTTTGATGTTAAGGTAAAGAAACCGATCGAATTTCCCATAGTTTCGGCAAAAAATCATTTCTCCTTTACCGAATTGTTCAAAATGAGTCGGAAATTGAAGCAGACACTCGGTTCCATTTAGATGGGTTTTCAATTTTTTATTAAACCAAAATATTTTGATTCATTACGGTTTTCTGAAATAGAGAAAGAACGCTATTCATAAATCGCAAACATTCTGAATGTATTACGTAGATCTGAATTCTGACACCAGTGTTTGTTTTTTTTGTTTTTTTGTTTTTTTTCCCAACTCCATAGTGAGTAAATCGCAAGAATAAAATTGAACACTATCAGCATACTAATCGCATACTCTGGCGTTCGATAATTCCGAAAAGAACGTTTGGACTGAGAGTATGTTGGTATGATGAACTATTAGTGGGCATGACTCAAAATGCCCTGTCATGAGGAGGGAAAAAGATCAAAATGCTAATAATAGTTCTAAAACAGTTAAAGGGAGGGCCGTTTAAATATGAACACCCCATACACACTTGACAGAAATAAAATAAGCGAATCAAAAACCTTCTTCCGTGTTTACGTAAGAAAATCGCAACCCTTCCATGGTTTTTGATTTAACTGTAGTTATCTCATTTTGGCAGTCAATAAATTCAAATAAAAGATGAAACTTAGAATCAAATTAAGTTTATATTTTAATTCATTACTAAAATTTAGAGTGGATTTTCTTTTTATAGGAATCTTTGAGGTTCAAAATTCTTGACCCCTGAAACTCTGCGAAAAAAATATTTATTATACCAGGCGGAGATATTGGAAAAATGCAGAAGTTGGTAGCTAGGCAATGCTTAAAAGAATGCTACAACTTGGGAGAAAACGATTCATGGCAAATTCTGTTTCCCCTCCATCGTTATTGTAATGTTTAGAGAAAAGAGAGTTCATATAAACCAATGGTTCCTGAACTTTTTTGTCTCGTAGCCATATTTTTCGGTTTTGGATAGACCCCCTATTTACCTGATTCTTTGTAAATTCATCAACTTCAAATGTATTTTTGACAGCTGTAAAACTTTTGAATTTCTAACTGTAAGTGAAGTGGAGTGCGAAAAACTTTTATACATTTATTAATAAAATTCAAGCTAATTTAACCCCGGAAAAATACTTTTTGTTACAAAATAAAACCTTACACGCCGAGAAAATAAAAACGTAAGCGGGCGGAGTTGCAGGCAACTGCTAGTTTATAATAATTCAGTTTCATATATCAGAAAATAATCCTAATAACTTAAATTTTAATAAAATTTTTACTTCATAACTACTTTTATCAATTATATAGAATTTAGATAGGTATATGTCTTTATATTATAAGGTAGTATAATGTAAGTAAATAGGTCCTATCAGTGTATGTTGATTATTCCATTCATGCAATGCCAAAATTAAAGTCACGACCTGCTTATATAAGATCCACTATTGTTGACCCCCATTTTCATTTCATGGACCCCCAATTTTTTTTTTTCACTTGGCACGGACCCCTTGCAGGATGTCATCGACCCCTGGGGTTCGATATAGACCCCTTTGGAAATCACTGATATAAACCATCAAGTTCGAAAGAGGTATTAAGTCAGGATGAGTGGTAGGTCATTACAAGTAGCGAAACTGTAGTTTTTAAACGAAGTAGTGTAGTGAGTAGTGCGATACGAAAAAACTGTAGTTTGTAGCGATTCTTAGCAACTACTTTTTAACGTTAGTTCAATAAAGAAACAAAGCAAAATATTTTTCGAAACTGATGGATGCAAATCCAGTGAGAATTCCTCTCTCACCGAGCGTTAATAAGATGTCTGATGCTCTGAAAATCGGTCGAATTGTTCCTGGGAAAACGAATTTTAATGATCGGACTTTTTTAAAATTCGATTCACGGGAAATATAATGTACGCTTCTGAGTCTGAAGTCATAACGTGTGCATTAATTAATTAGCATATTTGTGATCACGCTCTCAAACCATTAAGATTGAGTCCTAGAACGTGAAGATCCGATCATTAGATCAAAAGTTATTCAGGGTGGTCCGCTTTTTATTTTTCGCACTGTGCTTTACTTCTTGGAGGATATAAAAAAGCATAGATTTCATAAATCACAATTATTTGATAATTTCACGGCATTTCTTAAATCACTGTCGAGAAAAGTATAGAGGTAGAAAGCTAAAAAGAACACTGCTTTAGAATTAAAAATAAAGCTTCATATCTACTCTTATTGAACTAAGGCAATTTTCAATTCGAAATCATTTTGAATTTGGAGGAAAATTAAGTTCTCCAGTTAAGTTGCTCTTCTAAAAGTAGGGAAGTAGTGACTGCATTTCGAAATAGTTTGTAATCGCTGCATTCAAAAAATAAAAAAAATAGTTGTAGTTAACTACAAAGAAAATGTAGTTTTATCCGACCACTAGTTAGGATCACTTCATGAATTCCTTTGCCATGATATATTGATTTCTTTTCTTCATTTGAAACTTTACGGTTAACAACCGGAACTTACTTTTGTCGAAACATTAAATTACCAACAGAGGTAAAACAGAATTTGCTATTCCATCCGCAGTTTTAACGTTTATATCATTGACATCAATTGTCATGAACATTTAGTAGATAAGGTTTCAGAAGAAATCAATAATACACTAGAGAGACCAAAAGATAGTGAACTAAGTTTCTTCGACACTAAATGATATTACAATTGAAGGAAAGAAACATGTCAGAAGATGGTAGAGATGAGGCACGAAGAACAAAAAACGGTTGGGATTCTTCTTTTCTTAAGCGGAATTCCCGAATCGAAAGAAAGAAAACAATCGCATCGTAATTTTCCAATCCTGTTCTCAACACAATAAAAAAAATTTCGTCTTACGAAGTAGGAATAAAAATACAGAAGAAATTGTACATATGTTACCGTAAATAGCCGAAATCTGTAACAAGTTAAAATTTTTGCGCGATTTTTAGGATGGTGGAACAAAAACTGTTCCTAGCACACACGCTGTTCAAATTTCAGAATTTTAGCACAAACCTGGGGAGATTGTGGCAAAAAAAAAAACAAAAAAAAAATTTGAAAATTGTTAACAAGATATCAATTTATATACTATTCATAATTAATAAAATTTTTTGAACTGTGATTTGTAATTAAATTACCTACCAATAAAGAATATCACAAACTAATTTAAGAAAAAACTTAGCTAAGTTTTCAAAAGAATCACGATATTGGATTTTAAAATTACGTGAATACGAATCGCGATGTATGAGTTTTAAATGGCGTGAACACGAATCGCAATGTACGATTTTTAAATCAGGTGAATGTGATTCACAATGAGTCACTTTTAAATCAGGCACATACGAAAATCGGTGCTTGATATATTAAAATCGCATGAATATGAATCGCGATATTTGAGGATTCCGGCGTTGTTTCAAGTATTAAAACGATAAAAATACGACAAATCGAAATAAAAATAAATAAAGAAATAAAAATCGCGGAAGAGTCATATGTATGAACTCGTCCCGTTAACGCGATTTAGCAAAGGCGGAAAATAAGCATAAAATAAAAAATGTAAGATTGCATGAGAATTTTATAAGCACAAAGAAACAATAATTATCACAAAATGCTTTATTTTTCCGTAAACAAGAAAGCAAATAATAAGACATCTTTAGAATCAACTTTATTAACTGTCTCATAAAAAAAAAATTCTCATTTTATTCAGAGAATAATCAGCATATGAAAAAAATGAACGCACTCAAATTTAATTACTGAAAGTTAAGAATGAAAACAAGAAAAAGTTTAAGATGACAATTAAGAAGAAAAGAATGTTTTTAAAAGAGGAAATGGAAAAGTGGCACACGAAAAACACTTACTTTTTGAGGGGTTTTAAGTTATGCATCCTAATTGCAATTTTTTCTTTCTTTCTTTCGTTTCCCCCCCCCCCATTTATTTCGTTAGCTTAATAAGTTTAACCACTAGTGTTTCACATTAAACATCTCAGATCTTAGGTTCCCAACAATGACGCTACCGTCCCCTAGAGGGCGTTGGTGAATTCTAGAGAGTCGGTAAGAATTTGCATAAGAAATTTTAAAAATTGAGAACACTTTGAAATTATTATTATATTTTTTTAAAATTTTCTAGCGAAACTTCAGTAATAATGTCTAACACTGCATTTATAACACCGTAGAAAAATAGTTATCAGTGTAGCAATTTATTAAATGAAAGAGTATTAGCCTACTTTACCATGAAGGAAAAAAAAGAAAAGACTCTCTTACTTTGCTTGATATATATCAGGATTGCCATTCAAATCTGGAGAAAAAAAATTCCCCGTGTTTTCCCAGTAGATATTATACTCAATATGTTAAGCGGAAACAATTACTGTGCTCTTGTGTGAGCCATTTTTTAAAAGACAAAAATAAGAAATAAAATTCCCTGCATTTTCCCTGTTATTTTAAGTAATTTTTAAATTCCCTGTATTTTCCAGGTTTTCCCTGTGGAGTGGCAACCCTGAACCGACGGATGAAGTTTTATAACAAAGAAACCGACATAAAAAGATTAACAGAAGCTTTTTATGTTACGCACATATATATAANATACATATATTATCTATATATACATATACATATCACATTATATATATGTGCGTAACATAAAAAGCTTCTGTTAATCTTTTTATGTCGGTTTCTTT